TACTTCTGTTCTCTACTTTTAGAGTTTCTATTTCAACTTCACCCTCAGATCTTTTTCTTGGGTGAGACACTCATTAATTTTATTCTCTTCTTGGTTATTTTTTCTTACTCTCTCCTTCAAATTTTGATCTATTTACCCATGTTATATAGATTTCTTAAAAGAATCCACAAATGGAATATGACATTAGGCTTATAGTTATCTGGTCATTTTCAGTTCCTTCAGAGCAGATCCCAGACTCCTTAGTATTACATCAGTTGCTTCAGAATTCGTCCCTCTCGAGTCTACCCTGTTTTCATTCACACCACTCCCCCGACCAGAACCTCTTCTTAGCTACACACAGAGCTCTACCTTCCCTGAGTGGTCCAATTGCACCCTAGTTTTTCATACCCTCTATTTCTTGGTACTTGCTGTTCTTGTCCTCTAGGATGCCTCTACTCATTTTCCTCCAGGAGACTGGTATTTAAGACTCATCTCAAAGACTATCTCCAGTACGTAACTGATGGTTCTTACTATAACTGGTAGTTCTCCCTTTTCTCCATGCAGTCATTTCCTTTCTGCTGCCTAATGAATTTTCATGGCTCTGCCAACCTTCTCACATCTCACTTGATATATCAGAGCTCTCAGTGCTGTTGTCTGTGTTCATGTCTGTCTGGAATAATCTGCCTACTCTCATCATCCCTCTCAAGGATATCAAAACTTTCCAAATTCAAGAATCAGCTTCTTCATTATATTTTTGGTGGATCTCACATATGGAGGTCAAATTACTTCTCTTTGTGTTCCATATGGATTACAGATTTACACCATGACCTATATGAACTTGTACCTTGTATCTATTTCATCTTGTAGAACCTACATTTACCTGTTCTGCATCCTACCATTAGGATCTTGAGGGAAAGAACTATATATAATCTATGCATACATCATCTATGCCATCTATATATATATATACATATACATACAATGAGCAGCATCAGCTAGTCTTGTAAATGTGGTGAGTGTTGTGAATAGATTAAGGGTGTGTAGCGGCTTTGTCCAGGTGCAGTGATCCTGGCTGAGTGAATAGGTCTGAAGCACAGTTGTCACCTGAGGACAGAAGTTTCAATTATTGATTTCTACAGTAGATAAATTCCAGAGATAACAATGTAAAGGAGACAGAGCTTTCTCAATCTAGCGTATTCCTTGAAATGTGGACTATGAACAGTAAATGATAATTGAGACAATTGTTGATATGACATTGTTTCTCACTCATTAGCCTCTAGTCAATAGATTTCACCTCTTTGTGAAGTTGGATTTGTTTGGTTTGATTGACTATTTTCATTATGCATAAAGGATTCCCTTCATTTCTTTCAATAGATGCTTTACTTTTCATTATAGAAGCATATTCTTTAAATCTTTCATGAATCATTTTTCTATTTGAGTATCTCAGGTTGACAAAATCCTTAGTGCAAAAGGCGGAAGGGGTATGGAGAGTGGGGTGAATGAGGGTTGATGGCTCTGCTTTAATATATTTTCTCCTTATTATTTTCCTGTCTCAGTCTATAATGCTATCTCTGTATAACATGGGAGGTAGACATTTTATCATCTTGCCTTCTGGTATATGGTTTGGAAGGATTGGGAGGAAATCTTGAGAAGGAAGTCTTAAGAAAGGAGGAAGGACTAGCATATTAGTGAAATCCCAGACACAAAATATAAATTCCCATAGGACCCTTCCAGGGTAGACAAGTCTGATGGCTAACCAAGTCCTGTGTACTCGGGTGATGAAGCTAGGGCATTAGTGGTGAGAAGACTTTTGCTAAAAACAAAGTCTATTTGAATGTAGACTAGTGATTACCAGAGGCTGGGAGCAGGGAGTGGAGGGGGACTGGATAGCGAGTGTCACAACACAGACAGAAGGATGAGCTCTCTGCAGCGCAGTGGGAGAATGGCCACAGTTCACAATAGCTTACTGCATATTTTATGAAGATCTAGAAGAGAGGAGCTTGAAGTTTCCAAACTTGAACAAATGATGGAGGAAATGTTGATTATCCTCATCACTGTGTACTGTATGCCTGGGTTGAAATATCACCACGTACTTCATTAATATGTACAATTACTATGTCATCAACAATAATGAAATACAATTATAAAGAGAGGATAGTGCAACATTTCCTCCACTTTCAGTCCCAAGAATAAGCTTGAGATACAATAATAATGATAAGTTTTAGATACAATGTTTAGACAGCTAAATATGGAGTCTGGTTAGGAGGAGAGACACTGCTGAGAGTTTCAATGACCAGAGGAGCCTTACAGGACTAGACCTTCCTGGCCTTGCACGTTCACCCTAGTGCAGGTGTGCACGGTGCTGTGAAGGACAAGGGGAGGTTCTGATTCTCTTCGTCCTCCCCTTGGTTCTTGACAAGTGAACAACATATTCATTTAATGGATGAATAGATGCATGTGGTAAATAATGTTGACTGATCCTGGGGTGGGTTATGAGACATATGAAGACTTTTTGATAGCAGGGAATCAGGAAGTGATACTCTGGGTTTCTGGCCCTTAACCTTGAGTACAGCTATAATCTTCAGTAGTGTTAAACCAGCTAATTAGACTCTAAATTTGGCACGTGTGTAAATAGAAGTAATTCTATCCCCTACAAGTTAAAAGACTTGTCACTTAAATGCCTTGAGTTTGGTATGTATGTAAACAGAAGCAATTCTGTCTCTTGCAAAGGACTTTTTATACTGACTGTAGCTCCATTTCTGAGCCTCTGAGCAAGCTGAGACAAAGATTGTTTCTCTACTCTAGTGCGTGGTTTTCATCAAAATGAAGAGGTGGAACTAGAGGAGCTACAATGTTCCTTTACCTCTGAAGTTCTTTAAAAATATAAATGCCTATTGTCTATATGTACTAGAAGGTTGTTAAATGATATGCAATTATTACACCTTACTCATGGAAAATGTATTTTTATACATTTAGCTACAAATCATAATATATAGTATGATTTTGTTGATGGCTTTCATAACTCTATTTTAGGCATTTGCAGATCTCTCTTGAGTCTTATTTAGCACTTCTTTCATAATTTTCTGCCAAAATATTGATCTGGTCTTTCTATCAAGTTCTGAGCCTTTTTTAATAATTATTTCACTTTTTTTTTTTTTGGTGCTAGGTACCTAGCCCAGGGTTGCTAGGCAAACACTCTTCAACTGAGCTATATTCTGAACCCTTGTTATTGTTGCTTTGTATTACAAACTTGAAAGAAATTACACAGCATTCTTACTTTCTCTCCTTCTTTTCTGTAGAAACCCCATGTTCACCTTTCTGGTTTTTATTGCGTGCATCATTATACATGCTTTTGAGACAATGGGAGTTCTTTTTTGTTCTTTTTCTCTTTTTGGTACCAAGGATTGAACCCAGAGGGGCTTACCCATGGAGCCACATTCCCAACCCTTTTCATTCTTTATTTAGAGACAGGGTCTCACTGAGTTGCTTCGGGTCTTTCTAAGTTACTGAGGCTGGCTTTGAACTTGGTGAAACTTCTGCCTTAGCCTTCCAAGCCACTGAGATTATAGGCATGCACCACCATGCCTGGCTAGTCTGAGTTCTTGTATCCTGTGATGGAAATGCCATAGGTGTGCACTGTGCCTTCCCAACTGTCTACATTGGTTTCATGTTGGTACCTTTGAACAGCCTGGAGAGGAATTTGGACATCATGGATATTAGCAAAAGCTACAAATCCTCCCTTACTCCCTATCTAGCCCCTGTCAACGCTTGGCACACCACTATTTTTCAGTGCGACATATAATCAGTCAAACAGTAGCTATGGCATTTAGGAAATTCAGTGTTCTTGCATAAGCAGGGTCCAAGGTGCAGAAGGAGATTTGAATGTGGGTACAGATTCATAATTAAAATGTAACAGGCAAGATAGTTCAAAGGTAGCTGAGGGAAACATTCTGTGCTTTGGGCCAAGTACTATAATTAGTTCCAACACATGCTTTACCAGCTAAAACAGACTATGAAGCAGGAGTGGCATATTCTGCATGTAGATTGTAGTGAATAATAATACATTGGCCAAAACTAACATATATTTTGGATGGGCTTTGTTAGAAAGTGGATTTTATCACTTTGTTATTAAAGTTATGAATTCATACATTAATATATATGTATGTTAATACATATATATATATATATATATATATATATATATATATATATTAATATATCCCAAGTTTTGTTTGTATAAAATTAATACAAATGTTTGGGTCAATGTACCTTTAATAATCTTGAAGAAAGACTTCACATCTATTGAACAACATCCTGGAATTATAAATCCCCTCTCATTTCTATGAGGAAGAGCACCAGCATTAATAAGCATCAACAATGTGTCAGACAACTTGTAAGGCACTTAACATAGGTGATTTCTCGCCCCCAGATTTCAGAAAGGGGATATGAAAGGAATGAGAGAAAATTAATATATACTCAGCAGAAAGATACTATTCACACATTGGTTGAAATCATTACAAGTTTTAAAGTGATGCTATTTGTTCTCATTTCATACTAAGGAAATGGAGTCTTGAACAAATGTAAGAATCTTTTACAAGATCACATTGCAAATAAGTGACAGAGCCAAAATTTTTTAAACACAACTGTGTCTAAGATCCTTTGATTCAGGAAATGTTTCTTGGATGCAAGTTACTTGCCAGGAAGTGTCCTGGCTGCTGAGGAAAATGGTCACCATTACCCCAGTCCTCTCCACAGAAAGGCAGTGAGTTGATACTGTCCCATGGGAAGATCATGGGAAGATAGATTGGCAATTATAACCATATACATAAATGTTTTGCAGGTCAACATTCTAAATTACAGGAAACTTAATCAGTGTGGTCTTCAGAACTCGATGCATGCATTTAGGAGTAGTCTAATTTATATCGCAGAGGAAAAACTGGAATTGTGCAGGTAGGATGGAATACAGTGGGTGAAGGGAATGTCATGGAGAGAGAATAACAGGAAGACAAGTTAACCATAAAGAGAGTTAATAGTTTATTGTTCACTTAAAGTGATTTATTCTTTTAATTCTTTTTTTAAAATCATGAGTAGACTTAGCCATCATAGATGATGTCTCGTTCTATGTTCTGGAGTGAATTGATCATGAATTTCTGTGTCATTACAAGAAGGCTGAGTTTTTATGAGCATAGAGAACTCCAAACACAGAAATAAAATGATCCAACTCGTATTTTAGAAATACCACGTTATTTTGGCTAAGAAGAAAAAATCTGGCGAGTAATGCCCCTGTTTAAAATCTGTTTTCCTTCACTTCTTTTTTTTTTTTTTAATTTTTTATTGTGGGTTGTTCAAAACATTACAAATTTCTTGACATATCATATTCCACACTTTGATTCAAGTGGGTTATGAACTCCCACCTTCACCCCATACACAGATTGCAGATTCACATCAGTTACACATCCATTGATTTACAAATTGCCATACTAGTGTCTGAAAAATATGGAACGCTTCACGAATTTGCGTGTCATCCTTGCGCAGGGGCCATGCTAATCTTCTCTGTATCGTTCCAATTTTAGTATATGTGCTGCCGAAGCGAGCACTTCCTTCACTTCTTGCATGATTTTCAATGGGTAATAGTATTAAGATCTCAACAGAACACCCGAGATGCAGGGCATCCTCCATAGATGGTCATCAGTTCTTTGTATTTCCCAGCTGTCTTCCAGCTGGTCTTCAACTTCAGGCCTCCCTTCTATCCATCTTGACACCCTCTTGGATTATTCTTCTACTTCCTCTCTTTCCCAAAGGGCTTCCATTCACATGATTTACCCAGTGAACTCTCAGTACAATTTCACGAGAGCAGAGGCAGAAGAAACCTCCACAGCCAGGAGTTTCCAGAACTCATACTTTAGGGCTAACAAAGATGCCCAGGAAAGGATCCTCCAAGAGGCCCAGCCAAGAATCTACCGGAGAAATGGTAGACTGCGAAGGAGCCAGGCCTTGAGACCATGAGGTCCTATATGACACCGGGGACTTGGCTTTCCTCACCCTGTTTGTGTCTGACTTTGTAACCTCAGGAGGTTCAGCCTTAGCAGCTGGAAAGTTGAGAAATAAAGAAAGAAGATTAAAAAAAAAATTCCCTTCCATCTTTATCAGGTAAACATTCATTAAACTGCCAGTCATTAATTGTAATTAGAAGAGATTAGCTTTTTCACATAATTACTATTGTGCTGACATTAAAAATGACCATGAAACCTGTGTATTATCTGTGAGTAATCAGAAAATTTGTGGAAGCACCTGAATTTTTATATCAGACAAGTGAAGAATTTCCTTGCTGAATATATTTTTTACGACAAAAGTTACAAAATATAAAGTTGTATTTGTGTTATATTCAATCAGTTTTACTTTTTACCAGGTCCTAAAAATAAAAGAATTTTTATATACCGAACTCTATGGGGCTGGTTTAAATGAGGGGAAAAAAAATGACAATTTTTTAGACAAATCATGGTATGGTAAAATCTGAGAAGTGAATTTTAGTCAAGTGATTATGCTAGAATGAAAAGGAAAAGAAGGAAATGCATAATTCATGCATGAATCACCAAGACTATATTAAAGATTAATCATAGAGGTCACAAGCCAAAGATTCAGTGATTAGAACACAGAAAAACGGGGAGTTTGAAGCTATTTATCTTTTGTGTGTCTTGTTTCATAACCTCTGGACATGCATATTTTTGATTTTGCCTTTCCATGTCTCCATGGTGCATTTGAGGTCCTTTATAGAGGATCCCAAGCCTGTAGAACTGTGTGCATTTGCAAGCCAGTCTCTTAACCCCACTCCCAAGCCAATCCCTATCCCACTCCAAGTCAACCCAAATCTCCATCAGGACCCTCTCAGTGCTGCTGGCCTTGCCTAAGGCTTTCACTCATTCTATTCCCTTCACCAGATGTCACACTTCTCTCTCACCACTGAGACTTCATTTTTCAAGGCCCTCGTTTTTCTATTCTCATAATACTTTGTTCTTATGATATAATAACCTATCACTTGCATTATAGCAGGATATTTTTACTTACCTGTTACAGAATACAGGTTTCTTTGAATAAAAAAAAAAACAAAACAGGAGAAGGGTTCAGTATTTATGAGCAGTTTGTCAATGTCAGGAACTATCCTAGATACTTTGTAAAATATCTTATTTAATCCCCCAAATTACCTGATAGCATGCATTATCATCTCCATTTTACAGATGAGTTAGCCAGCTCTGTAAGTTAATTAACTCATCCAGCGGAGCACTGCTGTGAAGGATATAATGAAATGTTTTCTGAGTCAAAGGCTCTGCTCATTTCACTGTGTTATAACATATGAAATTATGGGTATTTCTTTATTCTTGTACCTGGACTTTGTCCTTTCTGCTTGTGATCTCTGGATTATTGTGGCCCACTCTGTGTGTGTGTCCATCTTTCTCTTTTGCTCTTTGGCAATTTTGTAAAGACTGAATTGCACACGTATATGTGTGTGGAAGGGTGTCACAGAGGAATTCTCCACAAAGAAAGACGGAGCCGGGTGTCAGGGAAGAAGCGGGGGCTGGTATGATGTTCTGAGTGGACACAGACCTGCGTTGCAGTTAGAAACAATAAAGGGTGGGCATATCTGGCAGGAAGGCCGACTCTAGGGAGACCCCATGCCTTCTAGCCAGTGTCTGAATGACACACACTGGGCAGGTGGTGCAGCCTCTGAAGCTACCACCACGTGAGTTGTCCAAGTCACCCTTGTGAGGACCAAACCTCCCTGAAGATGGGCAGTGGTCCATCTGCAGCAAAAAAAGCACCCTTCCACCCTGTCTGCTACCCCTAGTTGATCCTGCTGCTACCTGAGTGTGAGGAGAGACTGGGAGCCACTGATGTGTGAACTTGTAGAGTTTCTGCTCTCTCTCTCTCTCTCTCTCTCTCTCTCTCCAGATACCTTTCCTCCTTGCATAATAAGTCTTATGCAATTGGATTTGGATTGGTTTTCTTGGCTAAAAAGTGCTTTCCAAAGCCTTTTTCACTATAATGATGTGAAGATAGCATTACTGTCATCACTGTGCAGACATTTAATTGAGGCAACTGAGGCCCAGAGAGGTAAGGGGACCCCACGGTCACAGATTGCAGAAGCAACAGAGACAAAATGTGATCCCAGGTCTCTTGACACTCAGGTTAATTTTTTTTTCCCATCAAATGTCTGTATGTGAAAAAGAAATAAAGGAGATAATAAAAAGAATCCTCCCAGTTGATATTGTGACAAAATTTATACCCCATGGAGTTATTAACTGGAAGCTCAACATCTGGGATATTTTTGATCACCTGATGGCTCCAGTGACAAGGGTTTGAACATTTGTTCAGAATGAAATTGGTTAAGGGGAGAGTGGCTCTATGACAGAAATCAGTGCTTCCAACATTTTCAGCATTCACCTCTACCAGGCATGCACATGAATGACTCCAAGAAATCACATATGAAAGGGCATTATCAAGCCCCTTCCGAATATTCTTGTGGAAATTGATGACAGTGAAGGACACATCTCTAAAAAATTAAAAAATAAAGTTTTGAGAAGGAAATGCAAGTGTATTTTCCTCAAGGTAGAAGGAAGCCATAAAAATCTGTTTGCTTATTTTCTCAGTGTGCTTAATCTGCTGGCATTCATTTATTTTACTTCAAATGAAGCTCAGAAAGTTGCCACGTTACAAATCCACAGGCTGAAATCTATATTTCTGTCCTTCAGTTGACTTTAAAACCAGCTCCAGTAGTGTTTCCAAGAGACAGATGTGTAATTTCTTACTGTGAATATCCTCAGGTGTCCCTGCCTTCAGAGGTCACCCATCATTATTTATAACTACAGAATCTTAACTTCTACTCTTGGCAGTAGGGGACCTGGACTGTGACTGGATTCTTAGTCTTTCTGAAATCACAAGAGTGCTTCCATATCAAAAAAGGCAGATAATTTGCATGATTATAACAGGTTTGGAGAAGCTATCTGCTTCATAATAAAAAATAAATAGATAACAATAAAAAACATAAGAAGTTCATACTACATTGTTGAGTTCCATGATTGGTTCGCAGATAGCCAGAGCTGGTTTGGATCTTCTCTATTGCTAAAGATCTCTACATCATTGTATACTTGTGTTCCAACCATGGTACAAAACACTTAATTCCATTTTATTTTCATGCCAGACAATTTTATTTTCTGATTGTTAACTGGTAATTATTTATGTCTGTCATTGGTAAATATAGGAAATCCTATTGCATTGGTCGGGGAAAAAACCTTGATAATTGAGAACGCATCTTCAATTTTCTGAGACTTAACTACATCAACTGTAATTCTGAACTTGATTGAAGGGTTTTTTTTGTTTTTTTTTTCCCCTGATCATTTTACAGTCTTGGGCTACGTTCTAAGAGCCTCAAATTTTGACTGCTTGTCTTCTCCTTCTTGAATTAATTTTATACTCTGAATTTTTTTTCCTATAATACTTTTCTGTAAATAGCCTGGCAGTCACTGGCTTTAATCAAGACTGATTTGCTAATCTTAGTTCTGCGGCTCTGAATCAGTCAGAGTCCAATCAAGAGAAAGAAACTACAGAGTAATTGGAACTGAGAAATTTAATATAAAGTATTATTATTGTTAACTATAAAGAAGATGCTTTAAAGAGGCACAGGGAACTATTTCATAGTTGAGTGAAAAAATGTGAGAAGAACAAACTTAGAAGGAAATGAGGATTTCCTCTCCAAGGCTAGGATTTAGACACTGCTCAACAGGTGTAGTTATGGTCTGTAGAGAGTGTTGAAATCCCCTGATTTTCTCTGGGAAAAAAATTGGTCAACCATTCCCTGGCAAAGCAGAGAACTCCTCTTGGGTGTATGTGAGCTAAGGCTTGAGAGAAAAATTCTGGATGCCTGCAATCTTTATTGGAAACCTACCTTCAGGAGCTGCTGCAACCCAATTGGAAACTTTGCTTCTTGACAGAGTGCTCCCCGTGATCCATTCTGCTTCTTCGTATCCCTGCTTCTTCAATAATACATTCCACTTCCACAGGTGCAAAAGAAAGTTGGCACCATCTATATTCCCTGTTGTTTTATTGTGACAATTTTGTGAACTATGAATAACGGGCAAAGGAAAAAGAAAGAACAGGTTGTAAAAACTGTCTGCCTTGTTTGTTCAAAGTACCTGGAAACAATTTAAGCAAAGGTTTGATCTTCTGAGAACCATAAAAACATAGGTACAATCATTCCAATTTCTTCTATGATACTCTATCATGGTCAAGTATGTTTTGTAGTCCCATATAATGCACTGTTCATATTGTTGTTGAGGACAAAAGAGAAGCAAAAACATCATAAAATAAACGGATTCACCACAACATGCCATGCAAAAGAGCCCATTCTCTTCCCTGAGAGCATGTTTAGATGTGATTCCTGAACTCACATTCAAGTGGGCAGATGTAGTCCTTGTTTTACTGTTCTCTCCACCTCTGGACAGTTCGAATTCTTATTTATTCTTCACTTCCTATTATGACAGAGGAGATACTGCTTCTGTAGCATTTTATCAAATATTAAACCTTGGTAATGGTTGGATTCAGAGTCATCAACAACAAGTAGCTAACCACATTGTGTTGGGCAAATCAGCTTACCTCCCCGAATCTGTCAAATGGAGGAATTACCACCAATTCTCTGAAAATCGATACAGTAACATATACACAATGTATTCTTTATTTCTCAAGCTTATGCCTACCAGGAACCTCATAATATTTTTCAACTATGATATAATGGAGGAGATTGGACCTGTGTGACATATATGATTGAAAAGTTTCTATGTTTTGCAGAAAGTGTTACAATGTTAACTATAATCTGACTCTGGAGTAGGAAATAAATAATGTCACATATTATAGATATTAATATGCATATTACATACTAGAGCAATAATCAACATATAAAAAGTATAGTTTAAAAAGTAGATAAATTAAAATGAAATTGTAAAAGTGTTCAATTCCAAACTCTGAAAGGAGGGAAAACACAGGAACTAAATCATGAATAACTAATAATAAAATGAAAAACTTAAGTTCAATTGTATTAATGTAGAAATACATCAATTGATAATCCACAAAGAAAATGTTTGTACAAAAAATTCTGAGGTTCAGATGGCTTAGCAGGTGAATTCTATCAAACCTCTGAGGAAGAAAAACTGTTCTATCTTTTCAAAAACTCAGAAAATGGAGAACAATGAAAACCTTTGATTCATACTAGGAGTCTCTTTTCACTGATGATAAAATGCTGCATGGACATTGTGAAATAAAAGGAACAAAAGGGAGTGGATACACAAAAGGCAAATATTCTTTACAAATATGGCTTTAAAAGTTCAATAAAATGATAAATCTAAGTCATATATATCAGATAATAAAACAAGATCAGAAGGGCTTATTACAGGAATGCAAGGTTGGTTTGAATTTTGAGATTTAATATAATTCATCATGTTAACAGAATAAAGGAAAAAGCAATATGATTTTCTCAATTGATGCAGAAAAAAAAAACTATTTGAAAAAGGTCAACATTCATCCATGATGCAACCTCCTAGAAAAGCAGGAATAAGGGAGAAATCCTGAGGTAAAAGATGTTTAAGAAGACATTACAACTGATATCACTCTTAATGTGGATTCTATTTTCACCTGAATATATTATATGTTCTGTTACTTTCCCTCAAATTGATGCTGCTTCACCAAGGTCTTTTTTCCCCCTAACCTTATCTCTTCAGGTAGTTTATATAATTTTCTCAATGCCTTGCAACATAACATCTTTACCCATCAATTAATACTTATGATCTCACATGTTTCAAACAAATTTTCTTTAGATGAATGTTAGTTATAATTTATATAACTATAGAGTGCTGCGTTCTCTAACCTATAGGGAAGAATTAAGTTCAATAGGATCCAATTGTTCCAGCAAGTTTAAACCTGCCATAGGGGCTCTATCTGAAAGTTCTTCTTTTTCCCTTTGCCTACGTATTAACACATTACATTTTGCATGCAAAGACATGGGTCCAGGGCACTGGCCATGGGTGGAGGGTAAGGACTTGGACTGGGTTGCTGAGGAATGCTTGCTTTGCATTTCCAAGATCCATTTCTGCATTCCAATGACTTACAAGAGCTTCTCTTTTGAGACTCAGTCTACTATCTTTCTTTTTCTGTTTTCCCAAGTTCCTATCTCATTTCCCAGCCCCCAAGACTTGCAATCTCTTATTCCTAAGGATTGATGAAGGGAAAAGATCCATCTTTCATGGCTGCTCAAGCTGGCAAGGAGCAATGACCTTGCTTAGCCAGGGAAATGAAGCCTCTGCCTGCCTGATCACCTGTATCTCAGTTGATATGGGTTGGGATCTTTGCCTTACCTTCATCTTACCAATGCAAGTACTGCAGTCTGGAAGATACAAACTTTATTAAGAGGTTAAAAAAGTAGCAGAAGTATACCTAAAATAGGTCTAATAGGGGTGACAGTCATGTAAGGCTTTAATAGTTTTTATTTACCTGTACACATCTCAAGAAGGAATTATCAAAAAGAAGGCCTGAGGGCAGGGGTTGGAGCTCAGTGGTAGAGCACTTGCCTTGCAAGTGTGAGGCACTGGGTTCGATCCTCAGCACGGCGCCAAAAATAAATAAATAAAGGTATTGTGTCCATCTACAACTAAATTTTTTTTTTTCAAAAAAGAAGGCCTGAAAAAAAAAATCCATAGCTTCTCTTTGATAACTCCTTCTTCACAGTCTGTGTCTAACTTGGGTCTCCGCACTTCCCAAATTGTTTAGTTGGGTTGACAGTTTGATTCCTGATTGCTTCTCTACCTCTGATGCCCATTCTACCTGTTCCTGTCCCCTGCTCAAACCTGGGCTCTCTGACCTCCATCACTTGCTACAGTTGCTGTCAAATTAAAAATTCCTTCTCAACTTCAAAGTCACAATTTGATTTTCAGAGTCACTTACAAATCTTCAAAATGTGGAGGAGCTTTCTCCCGGGACACGCACTTCGACTCTCCTTTCACCACTTTCTCTGGGCCGTGCCTTCCTCAGGGCCTGGCCACGTTGGGTTCCTTTATCTTTGTATTTCCTTACTTGTAACTGAAGCATTAATAAACTCAGACCCTCCAAAGCACTGCGTTAGCCCAGTGAGGAAATCTGGTACACATGACAGTCTCAGCAGCTTAGACATGGACCTTTCATATCCAAGTAAGAGTTAGCTCCTGAGACACGCATGAGCACCCCAAAGTTCTGAACTCAGTCCGCTTCAGTGTTGTTAAGGACCTTGGACAAAGCACATGAGAGTGTCAGAGGAACTTAGTCTTGCAATACCTACTTTTGTAATATTTTGTTTAATAAGTAGAGATTTCAATTATAATAAATTAAAAATTTTAACATTTAATTTTTTTTTACTTATAATGCTTATTGAACATAGTAAAAAAAAACACTCTAGGAATTCTTTTCCTAGACACCATCAGGCTATGTTTGAAAAACCCATAAAATTAAAAACCAAACAAACAAAACTAGAGTGAACAATTGTGATGGCAAATTCTGAATCACACAAACCCAATACATAGCATCTTGCAGCTGTGATTCTATTTGGAGGGTTTTTTTTTTTTTTTTTTTTCAGAAATAAAAGAAGCGAGTGGAAGAATTCTGCGGGACTCTGCCAATTACACAATATATGATGTTGAGCACGTGCTTAGTTTTTTGTTCTTGTTTCCTCATCTAGAGAAGGAGACTCTGACAGGACTGCCACACTGGGATGCTCTGAGAATTGAGAGTTCACATGCATGCAGTATTTTCCTGCTTTGGCTCCATTGCTGTCTGGTGTTCCCACCAGGGGGTCAGTCTCATTAAAGATGTTCATTTTGGATCACCTGTGACCCCGGCAGGAGGCCTCCACTTGAGCAATGAGTTGCCCTTGAGGAAAATGTGCACAAATGATCAGTTAGAGGATCTGCAGTGGCCCTCCCTGCTGTGGACATGGGCCTATTCTATCTCATTCTGGGGCTTCTGCTGTGCTTCTTCCAGGCTTTCTGCAGTGCTTTCAGCCTCCCAGATGTCCACGGACCATTCGGGAGATGAGGTGCTTTTCTTCCTTGGGTGATGGCAAAAACATGCTGAAGAGCAGGAGCACTGGACAGCAGCCAGCAGACCGGCTCTGCCATTAGGTGTTTCATTTAGAGCCTTGTGAGAGCTTCATCTCCCCTTAGAGGGGCCAGGAAGCCATGGCATGTGTGCAGGAAGGTGCTGAGTATCAGATACAATCATTCTAGGGAGTCACCGTGAAGATAACGTGGCTTTTAAAATTTTTAGAGTTAATGATAATGATTGGTATATCAGGGTCTATAGAGGAACAGAATCACCAAGACCATCGTATATGTGGGTATTATATATAATTATAAAAAGGGGATTTATTAGTTTGGCTTACATGAGTAGAAGCTGGATAGTCCCACAGTGGCCATCTTTGTGTCTCAAAGACCCAAAGTCTAGGACGCCCTCCCTCTCATGGGAATGTCTTATGGGAAAGGTGAACTATAAACTCACTCAAAAACATCTGGAGAGTGGAAGGAACTTCTGCCATCGGGAACTCTGCCGTGAGTGACCATGTCTGTGATGATCATTTAGTGAGTCTTTTAGACTCAAAGAAGCATATAAGTGAAATTTTGGACAAAGACTGGAAAAACCATTCTGTAAAAGAGGCTCTTCCCCAACAGGACTAGCCAAAGATGGCAGAAATCACAAGGATATTACATACTATATCCATAATCTGAGACTCCAGACTCTATGATCAGCTTTGAGGAAATCAGTCAATGCATTTTAGAACTTATGTGTAGGATAAGTCTTCAAGTTGACCCCATGAACTGCTGAAGGGTCTTCTTGGAATGAAATAACTATCTTTCTATCTTATTTTCATTTACATTTTTACACTTTCTCACTTTGCCAAAAATTTAATTACTTAATGTGTTAATTGATACATTTATTCAACTCACAGTTACGAGTGCCCATTCTGTCTATTATATAAGGCAAATGATCTGATCGTATACCTGAGACAGGTAGAAGGGAGACTGAGCAGAGTCCTGCTAACTGTCCAGGGAAGTTTGCCAACCTCTATCTGATTCTGATATGCTTTTCAGAAACGAAAATATAAAAAAGTGAAAGGAGACATATTATCAAACAAAATGCAAAGTTCTAAGTTAGATCCATAGTTGGGAGTGTGGAGAGTGACTCGTGCTTAAAGCTCTGACGTGGAAAAGGTGCCTATCTGACGTCTGCACCATTTTCCTGTGCCTGTCTTTATCAGAGGAATACCCCTCCAGTCTTAACCTGGAAGTGTACAAATGCTCTATCCTTGGTCCAGCCACCTGTCATGGACTTACCCAAGTGCCATGCCCTCAGGCACAGGTGACTCTAGCCCACATATTTGATGTTCTCACCACTTATGTTGATTAGAGTGCACGTGCACTTAGATCACTGTTGATGACAAGAAAATATGGAGGGAAAGTTTTGTTGTTCAGAATAAAATTATACATTCCATGTGGAAAGGTGACAAAGAGTTGAAGTTCATGACCTCTCTGGTACTTGTGTTTTTTATTTTATTTTTCTTTATTGGTACACTTTCGTGTTTCATTCTTTTTAGTACCAGGGAGTAAACCCAGGGGCGTTAAGCCACTGAACCAAATCCTCAGCCCTTTGTAATAAATATATTTAGAGACAGGGTCTTCCGAGTTGCTTAGGGACTTGCTAAGTTGCTGAAGCTAGCTTTGAACTCATGATCCTCCTGCCTCAACCTCCTGAGTAGCTGGGATTACAGCTTTGGGTCACTAAGCCCAGTCTACCTGTGCTTTTTACTTGAGGTTTCAGAAATCCTTAGTTGTATCTCCTTAGTTCCTTAGATGCAACTGCAATACAAGATTACACATTTTCAAATACCAGTCCTATCTGGTAAAGTACTGAATTGATGGGTATGTGTGTGTATGTGTGTATGTGTGTGTGTATGTGTGTGTGTGTGCACATATACATATATGTCTACACACACATAAGTATATATATATATATATATATATATATATATATATATATATATTCCTACTTCTAAATGGACTTCAGATTCCCAATATCCTTTAAGAATAATAAAATAATGATATTATTTCAAAATAAGCTTCCAACATCTAACAGATTTCTTAATTAATTACTTTTGCTAAACTTAGTGTACGACTTGCTATGGTATTTGAGTGATGGGTTCAAAATGCTTTTTATTTTTAAAAGTTACAGATGGTCTTCTTATTCCTCTAAGGAATTAAATAACTCAAAGTTTTGGGTTCCTTCAATTGCTGCTGTCTTTCTAACTGAGTGATTTCTTCTACTCACCCCCAAACCAACCTTTTTCTCAATTTAATATTTTCACGACTGATGTGGGGATAGGGATTAGTGTTCTGAGATACTGTACCACAGCTTGCTCATAACACAATTCAGTAGGCAGGAGGAGGGGTCAGATGATTTGAGGCTTGCAATGGGAGTGCCTAAGCAGTCTATGTTAGTCCTATAAATCGCACCGGTCCTCCTTTATTACCTGTTAAAGCTTGGCAGGAATGCGGTGCAGATGATATATGTTAAGGCTTAGGGACTTTGGTAGTGAAAGGAGTGGGGAGTCACAAAAGATGCACTTGTGTCCTCTGGAGTGGAGTGGACTGAGCAGCTACTTGGCACCCAAGCCATCAGCAGTGCAGGGGTCCAGTGGCTGCCGAGAGCCAGGGCTAAGGGAAAGGTAGCCCTCTTTCTTCCATCCTTAGTGGAATTGTCAAGACTTAGTTTCTTTCCTATAGTTGAAAGCATCTCAATTTCTCCATCTTTCTTCAGCATCCCTCTCCTGAGATTAATTTCCATATTGCTATGGAATATTTTGGTGTCAGGAGCCCGACGAGCGCTTGTGTGCTGGGGCCATGGCATGGTTGGTTGTTACCTTCACCACCGAGTTCAGACACCCAACGTACACGCTGCAGCCTTTATGTTGTATATCTGAGAGTGTTCCTGGGTTTCTCCTCTTATCAGGTCCCTTTAGTGTCCTGAATTCTAGCCACGATGAAGTCGTTCTCAAACATTCCAGAATCCTCCGGCCTCTGTGTTTTACAAATGTCATAACCTAGCTGCTCAGAAATATCCAGCTTCCCACCTGACACCCTGCTCCCTGCTGTTTTCTTTTTATTTCTTTCTTTTTTTTTTCTGTACTGGAAATTGAACTCAGCGTCTCATACATGCTCAGCAAGCAATCTACCACTGCCCTTTTAGTTTTGTTTTCTTTTGAGACAGGGTCTTGCTAAGTTGGGCAGGTTGGCCTCAAACTTGCCGTCTTTGTCTCAGCCTCCTGAGTAGCTGGGGTTACTGGTGCCCCCTTTCTGTACCTCAAACCTCTGGCCCTGGCCAGGCTCCCTCTCACATGCTGCTGTGGTTTGCTAGATATTCTCCATTTGTCTCCTGTCACTTCCTGTGCACACCTACGTCATAACAACGGTCACCCTGTGGGATGGCTTCCCCCTGTATTTCTGCCCTCCATGCTCACCTGGAGGCCAGTCTTTGAAGGCAGAGACTGTGCTTCATTGACTCTGTTCCCTAGTATTTCACACAGTAACTGACACATTGGAGACATTCAATGAATGTATTTTGAGTGATTAAATAGATTATTGAGAGAACCAATTAATATGTGGCTATATTCCAAAGCTAGTTTGGATAATAATGCCTCAATCCAGTAATTTCCATCTTTTAAACCTTAAACACCAGGATGCAGAGTTACGGCCTATTTTGTGCTCAGCAGAAAACCATTGTGTGTTTTGAAGAGAGAAATGATTTAGAGGCTTTACGCTCCTAGAGGATTAATCTGTCAGGAGTGGCAAGCCAGAAGGGAAGGGTGGTCACGAGTGTGAGAAGTGCAATCTGCCCTCTGGGGAACACTTGGTAGTGCCATTCCGGTTGGAACTCATGGCTGGGGATGCTTCTTCGATCCCTTTGAAGTTCTCTTTCTGAGTTCAAAGAAGGACCCGCCTACCTTTGTCTCTGTACTTTTTAAAAGTAGTCACAGGAATATTAAGTAATAACCTCAAGTTCGTATACCCACTGTTAGTATCAAAGGCAAAATATAAATCTAGATCTGCTGCTGCCTCGTTGGAGTTAGAGGTTGGTTAATCTTATATTTTCAAAAGCTGTACTGGGATATGGTGGCATATGCCTGTAATCCTAGCAACTCAGGAGGCTGGGGCAGGAGGATCTCATGTTTAAGGCAAGCCTCAGCTAATTAGGGAACAACTTAGTGAGACCCTGTCTCAAAATAAAGAAATTTTAAAAAGTCTGGGAATGTGGTTCAGTGGTAAAGGCCTTCTGAGTTCAATCCCTGTACACACACACACACACATAAAAAAAAAAAAAAAAGAAAAAAATGCATTTTTTTCTCACTTGCATAATCACCTCTGAATTTTCTTGCTCCTGAAATTGTCATATTTCTTATCTGTGTGAGCCCTGAAACCAGTCTAGGTGAGAATCAGTAGCTCACACACATTTTCAAGCAGCTATGGCACTACCTGTTTTCTGAGCTCTTGAGAGCAGCTAGAAGCGGCCCACTTAGTGGTCACTTTATAGCAGTCTATCATGAGCAACTTGATCTCTCTGTCACTTGCCTTCAGTACGCTCTGCCTTGTAGGGAAACGTGGAGGTAACATAGGCCGTGACATTATAAGTAGGTTGCCATCCATTTCTGTGTGGTTGTTCTTTGGTTCTAAGCAGGTAGGAAGATTGATTCCTATATTCTTCTAAAGATTCCATTTCCCTGAAACAGTTACAGTAACAAAAAACATGAGTTGAAACATTTCATGAAGAAAAACATACTAGGTAATTTTATTGGACATAAATTTGACATATAAAATTATAAACTCATACAATCATTAGAAAGATTTCGGGGGTGAAGGTCAGAGTGTGCTTTTTAAGAAATTCAGAATTACCAGGCTTAGAGGGAGCTGTGGTCCAGGATTCCAGCTGAGCCCAGGACCCACGTGGATGGTTCCCTGGAAGCCAAGTGAGGCCATTCTGCATGGGAAGGGTAGATGTGGTCTCTGTTGTTTCTCCCCAGGGAGGACTTCAGGGTGTCAAGGAATCCAACATGGGTGTCCAAGGAATCCAACATGGGTGTCAAGGCCTTCCTGCAGCTGAAGTGGGCAGAGAGCTTTTCTTTCTTGCTGTTTCCAAATATCTTTCTAGTGGCTTGCCCTGGCTGAAATGGAGAGAGAGAAGAGGTTCTGACAATTGGCATTTCCAGCTTCCCTCTGGTGATGCCAAGAAGAGGCACAAAGGATGATGGTGAGGCTGTACTGCTTGAACTTGACCACTCACATTCTAAACAGCTTCTCCACTTTCATGAAAGATAAGTGTGCCTGATAATGGAGGCAGCTGTATCCATATTGAATACCATCTCTAGGCAAAACACACATGTCTCTGTTGGGAGACCAGCAACATCACCCATTTACCTCCTCTCTTCCAAAGCCATGGGACAGGTGAACATTTTCACTAGTGTTTCAAGCAGATCTTTAATATAGATTGTTATTTTGAAGTCATTTTAGAATATATTTGAAAACAATTCAGGAAATGTACTCATACGTTGTTGGTGGGACTGCAAATTAGTGTACCCAGTCTGAAAAGCAGTACGGAGATTTCTCAAAAAAACTAGGAATGGAAACCCCATTTGACCCAGTTATACTACTCTTTGACACAATATCCAAAGGAGTTAAAAACAGCATACTACAGTGACACATATCCACAACAATGTTTATAGCAGCAGAATTCACGATACCTAAGCTATGGAACCAACATAGATGCCCTTCAACAAATGAATGGATAAAGAACATGTGGTATATATTCACAATGGAATATTACTCAGCCATAAAGAAAAATGACTTTATGACATTCACTGGTAAATGGATCTGAAGACTATCATGCTAAGTGAAATAAGCCAATCTCAGAAAACCAAAAGTCAAATGTTCTCTCTGATATGTGCATGCCACCCCACAACAAGGGGTTGGGGGAAAGGAAGAATAGAAGTTCGGATGACTGGACAAAGAAAAATGAAGGGAAGAAGGGAGCTAGGAATAGAAAAGACAGTGGAATGAATCTGAAATAACTTTCCTATGTACGTGTATGAATAAACAGCAGTTAATCTCAACATTGTGTACATCCAGAAGACTGTGGTCCTAATTAGAATAAGATATATACCATGTTTGTATAAATATATCAAAATAGATTCCACTGTCATTTATAATTAAAAAAAAATAAATAAAAAATGAATAAAAAGTAAAAGAATGGATATACTTCATATTATATTAATGCAAATAGAATGCTATAACTTGTCTGTCTTATGATTTAACTGTACATTTTCTAGGTAACAATAAGTATTTGTTAAATTGAGAAGAGGTTATAGGACTTAGATTATATGAGTGTTTCTCAGTGAAATGCTTAACTTGACCTGTATGGTCAGTTGGGATCATTGACTTTTTCGTTTTGTATCGGTCAGCTTCTGCTGCTGATTCAGCATCATCCATCATTTATTTAGATTGCAATTCAGACTTTGGTTGGGTGGTTCTTCTGGTCTGGGGCAGCTCGATGGAGCTCTGCTGGTTTAATTAGGTCTCATGATGAGCTGTTAGGTCAAGATGATGTGATGGCTGGATGACGTGTGACAGCCTCATGTGTGTGTTAACATGACACAAGATGTTGGCCAGAGTAACAGGGACAGCCGGGTACATTTCTCTCATCATCCAACAGGCTAGCTGGAGCTTTTTCACCTGGTTACAAAGATCCATGATCAAGAGAAGGGTATGCACCTCGCACAGATGTGTTTTAGTTCTCTGCTTTTATCTTATTTCCTGATATTAATCAAAGCAGGAGTCACAAGGAGTGAAGAGGTAAACTCTGCCTCTTGGAGGGAGAAAGCTCGAAACCTCACGTAAAGCAGCTTGAGTAGGAAGGATGTGGGACCACTGTGGAATCTGCCACAGCAGAACACAGGTGAGACTAGTACATCCCTTGGCTAGTTGGACTAAGTGGCAAGTCATGTCCTATGTCCCCTCTGAGCAACCTGATTTCTCTTCACTGTGTTTCTTATTGCCAGAGTCTTTCTTCTTTATTCTTTGATTGTATCCTTCAACTTCCTTATCACAAAACTAGTCCAACCTCACTCATCTACACAAATTGTGAGTGCTGATGTGCAATAAATATGTCCGCACAGAGCTTCAATTGGACTATTTCCAAAGAAAATGTGTTTTAAACAGTTTATAAGAGTTCCCAAGAGTGGATCCATAATAAGAATATTTAGTAATTTTCTAAGCCTGGCTGTAAATTTTAGCTCCTATACATTTTCTGAGGAATGGAATATAAGTAGAGAACGACCGGTGATAATTAAGCCAGGACATGTTTACTCACATTTAGGTTTTACATGGTTGAGAAATAGAACAAAATGAAAGACAGAAGTGGCATCCTGCAGAAATAGAAAAAAAATATTTAAAAATAGAAAATTCTCTTCTAGAATTGATCAAAACTGGGAATCAGAGCTCTAATTTTTAAAAGTCAGATTTATTTCCCTTAATTATTGAAAGAGAAAAAAATGATGCATATACTTAGGCAGAGGGAATATCATTTGGGGACTTTCTGTGGAAGTCGGATATGGCATGGTCCATCCCTCAAATTACCTCTTACAATGCCAGATTGTGGCAAAGTGCCAGGGCAGTCTGCGATCAAAATTAAGTAAGTTATAGAATTCCGGAAGTCAGGCTGCCCCGAGGAGCTCTGCTGAAACCAAGGTCATCAAGAGAAAAGGGTAACTGCTATAAACGTTGGTATGGCTATGTCACGATAGTATGCTCATTTTAAGCCCTTTGGATATAGACCAAGGAGTGGGATAGCTGGGTCAAATGGTGGAGATAAAGAGATCACAAACCTATATACAGGCAGCACAAACAGGAAAGCTTTCAGAAAAATCACCCCAGACCTGTGCTATCACAGAGGCAGACAAAAAGACTTGAACAGGCAGCTGTAATGAAGAAAAATGTGCATCGATACCTGGTCTGACCACTGATAATGCATGATAACTTCAGAGCCAGATCTTTAATTATAATTTTTCAATGCATATTCCTACATGCAGATGTTTTACCTTTTCTATAACATTTTCTCTTTAAAAAAAAAAGAAGTGGAAAATGTTCAAATACCTGGTTAAAATACAAGTGTTTACTGTACCTCAAAGGAAACAAAAAGACCATAACAAGAGGAGCATGATAAACAGATCCTTAGCCGTTTCTAATCAGTGGAAATCACACTAAAGGGCAAACTCTTTACCCAGATGGAAGTAAGTTAAAGCAACTCATTTGTTCTTGTTATGAACAATTGAAGGTCACCCTGTTCTGGAGAATCAGAAAGGATCTTGGATTTATGGTTGGGCAGCATATCCAGGCTTTAAAAACTGTTTTCAATCAACTATATTGAATTGTAAGCAACAAACACAAAATTCGTTGCTTACGTGAATATTTCAATGTGATTTGCTAATTTGTGAAACCATTACCAATTTAAGAGAGAAGACACTTCCATCACCCCAATCACTCCCTTTGTGCCTCCTTCCAGTTACTAGGGATTGCATTCTTATGTAGACTTTCACACAGATGGAATCATAGAATGTGTACTCTGGTGCTGGGTTCCCTCATGAAGCATTTTCTTTTTTTTTTTTTTTTCAGAGTAGAAATTAGAAGTTTATTAAAGGACAGCAGAAAAGACTTCTCCCTGAGGAAGAAGGGGACCCAAGAGGTGGAATCCCTCATGAAGCATTTTCTTGCAGAGTAATTTTTTTTTTTTTTGGTACTATGGATTGAAGCCAGGGTCACTTAACCACTGAGCCACATCTCCAGTGCTTTTTATTTTAAATTATGAGACAGGGTCTTGCTAAGTTTCGTAGGGCCTCACCAAGTTTGCTGAGGCTGGCATTGAACTTGCAATCCTCCTGCTTCAGCCTCCAGGGTCCCTGGGATTACAGGTGTGAGCCTGTGTGTGAGTAATTTTTTTATGAGCACAAATTGTTTATTCGTTTGTCAACACCCTCTCCATTTAACACATTTAGCTGTCTTCTAGCTTTGGGGCTATTATTCAAGATATGCATATTTATGCATCATTCTTTATTGAACATATTTTCATTTCTCTTGGGCAAATGTTTTTATAAGTATTTTCTGCATGTGGAGGGGTATCTCATTGTGATATTAAATTAATTTCTGGATGACCAATGATGGAGAACATCTTTTCATAAGTTTACTCACTGTTTCTGCTTTTGAGAAATATTAAGATTTTTTAATCGTAATTTTTAATTGAATTTATTATCTTATAATTGAGTTATATATTTTTACATTATTGATGACTACTAGAATTGTTTTTAATTCAAAGATTTTCTACAAACATCCCATGTTGGTCAACTTTTCATTGCTGTCACCAAAATACCAAACAAAACAATGCAGAGGAATTTCAGTTCATGATGAGTAGGTTCCATCACTCTGGGCCCTGGGTGAGGCAGAGCATCATGGCTGGGGGGCTCCACAGAGGGAAGCTGCCTCAGCCAGGAGACAGAGACAGAGAGACAAGCCAGAGGGACAAGGTGTGTGACCAGTGGCACACCTGGTGAGCAACCTTCCCACAGCCAGGCCCTCCTGCCTGTGGGTACCACCCTGTGATTCCATTCAAATCAGGACAAACTGACTAGGTTACAGCTCTTGTAATGATCAAGGGAGACGGAAAAATGAATGAATATGGAAGGCAGAAAAGTGTGGAGTTGTCTGTCCTTCAGTGAGTGCCTCTCTTTACCTTGAGAACTCTCCCGCTCAGCGCTGGTGCGTTTTCTGACTCCAAGGTTCACTCTGTCATTCTAGTGCAGGTGGCCAGCTGTCCTGGTGGTGCGTGGACTGACTGCCTGTTCCTACGTGTTCACTTTTAGCCTGTTGCAGTTCTACGTTTACTTTGGCTATCATGTAGCCAGCTTGCTGGACCTTGCCTGGTATCCAGTCTGATAAGATACGTCTTTTGATTGGAACACGGAGACAATTTTACTCAGTGCAATCATTGATCTATTTGATTTATAACCACCAGCATGCTGGTTGCTGTCTACTTGCCCCATCCGGTCTTTGATCTTTTTCTTTTTCTGCCAAAAAGATTATTTCAATATTTTTTTCAGATTATATTTTATCACTACCACTGACTTTCTGCTTGTAACTTTTCATTTTATTGTTTTCTGATTGCTATAATCTTCAATAAATTCACCTTTGATTTGTAATATTTTTATATTCAGAGGATATTATACTTCTTTGTCCAATAATAGACTTTCAATTCCAATTCTGTCTCCAGTTTTTGTGGTATTGTTGCATAGTTTTTAACTTCAGATGTTATAAACTCCACAGTACATTATTGTTATAATTATTTTTAAAACTCAGTGATCTTTGTAAAGAAATTTTAAAATGAAAAAAAAATCTCAGTCTTACACGTTTATTGTATCCTCCACTCTTCTTTTCTTTGTGTGGATCCTGATTTCCAATTGATAGCATTTTCCTTTGATTTGAGCAACTTCAATTAATGTGATTGATTTTTTTTTTTTGCCATGCAGATCTGTTGAAAATAAAGTGCCTCAGCTCTTATTTGTCTGAAAAAAAAAAAAAAAACTCCATACTTTCCCTTTTCTTTCTTTTTTATTAATACTGTATAGTTAGGCACTGAGTGGAAGGCCTTATTACATTACATTTGTACATGCACACAATGTAACAATATAATTTAACACCTCCATTTTTGAGAGATATGTCAAACTTGCTATAAAATAATGGCTTGTTAATTTTTTTTTGATGTTTAGCACTTTAAAAATGATTCCACTGTCTTCTTTTCACATTTTTTTTGCTTATTATTCTCTTTGTCTTTCTGCTCAGAAAGTTGTTTTTAAGATTTTATTCTTATTTCTGATTTTCAACTATGTGATTATATTTGAACTTCTTGGCTTCTTTGATGAAGCTCATGGAACTTCTTGGAGATACAGTTCCCATTACATGCTGATAACTTTCAACCACTGCTTCTCAGGGGGTGTCCTACCCTCCCCTTTTGGGCTGGATGCTCATGCAAATATCTGGTATTTTCACAACTTTGTCCAACTTTTTCTTCTCTTTTCTTGTGTGTGTGTGTGTGTGTTTTAACACTTCATTTTCAATCCCTATTTCTGTCTTCAAGTTCACTGATCTTTTCTTTTGAGATATTTAATCTGCTTTTAATCCTATGCTGTTAATACTAAAATTTCAAATACTTAATTTTTGGATACTTTTTTTTATTCATCTCTTCTTTATATTCATGCTTTTTCTTTGGAGGGTTGATGGACTCAAGTCATTAGGGTTGTTGATGTGTAACATATGTCTGTTTATAACATTTTTCACCATAATTGTGTATTGCTGTTTCCAAGTTGGCTTTTGAATTACCACAAACCCTTCGTGGAAGTATCACATGATACAGTCTTCCTCCGCACCAGCCAGTGAGCCACAATATCAAATGCTTCCTTGCTTTCTGACCCAATCAAACATGGTACAGCAGTGTTCCACTGCAGAGAAAACAAATCTTTTATATATGGTTGCTGCTAGTTAAATACACATGCTGATCACATTATGGCCACATTGAATAGAATTGGGCAAAATCCTAATTTGTAGAATTATTAATCTATTATTAAGACTTCATTTGAATTATCTCACTCAATACTATCAACAACCTGTGGACAATCATAACCTTCTCTAGAATTTATAATCCCCCCTTTTGTATTTTGGGATCCCCAAATTAGAAATATTAGGGATTTCACAATGCTTGTTTTATTGTCGTTTTTTTTTAATCTAATGCAAACTCATATTTTCAAAACTGTTTCAATATTGCATTAATTATATTAATGAGAAGTAGAAAAATAATAAGAAATATGTACCATTTGTAAACCAAATGTTGAGATTACTGCCAGGAATCACTGAAATAAGTCATTAAAAGTATCTAGCGTAACACATTGCAGGTGGTAAATATCCTTTGAGTATTTTTATCATTATTATTTTGTAAATGAAATATTAATTAGTAAATGCAAAGGCAAGAAGAATGAGATATGAAGAATTTTTGTCAGTGATGACAATTAACAATAAATACGATTCTCCTTTTTCTGTTTTTTATTGCAAACATAAAACCAATACAGAAAAATAGAGAAATCAGGACTGTACAGTTCAATGATTTATCACAGAGTGACTGTGGCAAAGAAGCAGAATTTTTCCAGCCCAGAAGATTCTTTATGAGTGCAATTTATGGCAGGTGGAATTACTTTTCTGCTTACTTTCAGGTAATAGGAACAGTCCAATCTGGTGTGATAATAAAAAAATAAACAAACTTGTTCTAAATGTTGGGTGCTGGGGGTCAATGGTCCTGATGGGGGGAATGATACAGGAGGGAACATGCAGGGTGTGGAGAGTCTCTGGTGCTGCTGTGAGCTGGGATCCGTCTCCCTGAGCTGGGCAGGTGTTTAATTACTCTTTCTCACACAGGATGGCATTTGTGGATCTTCTAAGACCTGCTCCCAACCTTTACAGGGAAACACACATACTCTACTCCTAATGCTGCCAGGTAGATTTCCTTCTGTATGAAAGGCTCCTTACAGCTCCTCTGACTGCTAGCCATTCAGCTGTGCTCATTCTCTCTGCTGAGGTGAGGTCTCTTGCTCCGTGTTCACACAGGCTCCTCTGTCCCAGGAAGCAACACAACTGACCCAAGTGGTGCCTTCTCATTCCTTTGCTTTGACAATTTCACATTAAGGATAATTTCACTGCAGCTACCTGCTGTCAGCCTAGCTAGCCAGATGCATTCTCTCCATTTGAATTGTTCTGTGTCTATCTGTGGCTAAACACAAGCCCACTCTACCTCTCAGTCTCTTCGGGCGGAGCAAGGAGGTTGTCTAAAGGGTCTCTGGAAAGCTCCTTTCCCTAGGCTTTGGATACTTCAGGGTTCTTTTCTCTTAAAGGAGTACTTTCCTCTTCTCAGCTATCCCCAACCTTTGGTTTAGGCTGGAGACAGAAGGCCAATAAAGGGCGAAATACTGTAATTTTTCTCCCAAATGCCTCCAACTCTCATATGACTTCTTCACATGAGATTGCGGTGCAGAGCATTCAGGGCCTACTAAGAAGAGCAAATCTATAAACCACGTTCTCGTTTTACCTTACAATAATCGCCGATGAAGTAACTTTTTGCCTACTTTATACAAAAACAAAATATTTGTTGATTTTCACAAGGAGGCAAACTAGGCAGACACAAGTTGATCCCAGGTCTGACTCAGAGTTCTTGGCCTATAGTATGACTTTTACTCCCCTATTAAGTCTAAAGGCAGTGGGTGGATGCGGGAGCCTGGGGAGAAATCCTCAATGCTTTGTCCATGTAAACTGTTCAATAAGGCAAGGTATAGAAACAGCCCGGGGATGTCTCAAGGTCCAAGAAAATTGCTTGAAAGTTCCAGACTAGAAAAGGCTCAGGGTCTTGACCAGTAGCCATGGGAGAATATGGAGATTTATTTGCTTTGTTTATGGGTATTAGGATAAAAACCAGTGACAAATTTCTAATCTCATTTCATCTCTCAATAAAAGCAAGTTTTCAAAATAGATTGAATTTCAGAAATGAATTTTTTTTTTGATGAGATGATATTTCAGCTTTGGTCTTAGTGAAATTTCACAGATCTCATTAAGGTGTGATTTTAGATAAACTGTGCTCATGCTGGGAGCCATCTTGATACTCTAATCATCTCGCATATCTCAGGCTGGTTAAATCAAATACAGGAGACTGCAGGAACTACCAGTACTTTGTATCTTTATACACATTTTCCCCAGGCCGTGCCACATACTCTGGGAGTCAGGCACTGGACAAGGTCATTTTCAGATGTAAACCTCCAAGACACACAATGGGAGGGCTGGAGATCAACAATACCCAGGTTGGGCTGGCTCTGCTTAAGTCCTGAGCTTCATTTGTCTTGGTGGAATTATTTGTAAAAGAAAAGCCAAAGGATGATGGTATTTTCTTAACTGAGTTGCTGAGTAGGGAATGATAATATTATTTTCAGATCAGAATGTCTTTTTTCCTCTGAAAGTGTTTGGAGGGAATGCAGGTGCGTGGACATGGAGAGCTGAAGTGGTGGGAGAAAAGCTGTGGACTGAGAATTAGACCTAGATTTCAGGTCTTTGTCCCCATGTCACCCTGTGACCTTGGGGAAGTCTCTTTCCCACTCTCAACATTTATCTTACGTGTACAAAGATGTGGGTAAGTCAATTTCCTTGATTCCTTCCAACTTCAAAGTCCTGAGTCAATTTAGTGAAGAGTCAAGGGTAAGAGGGACTTGGATTAGATAGCCCTGTGCATTTCTGAATTCTTCAGTCGTGTGTTAAACACTTGTAAAGACATTTTGGCCATTGCCACTCTCATGTATAAACAGTGTGCAGAAAACAGTTTGACTCTCAGACCAATGCTGGAATTTCAAGTCAGATCTAAAATAGTTAAGAAATTTTATTTCCATGTTAAAGGGTAATAAAGCTTTCTATTGCCCAAAATGCCCCAGTTTAAAAATATCTAGCCCAATCAGAGAATTTTTAAAATTTGTTCTATTTAGTCATACAGTAGAATGAATTTTGACACATTGTACACAAATGGAGCACAACTTCTTCCTCTGGCTGAACATGGTGCAGAGTCACACCTGTAGTGTATATATATATATATATATATAGATAGATAGATAGATAGATAGATATAGATATATAGATATATAGATATATAGATATATAGATAGATATAGATATAATGTCTACCTCATTCCATTGTCTGTACTGTCCCCACACCCCCTCCCCTCCTCTTACTCCCCTCTGCACAATCCAAAGTCTGTTCATTCTCCACCCCCCATTATGGATTAGCA